CCCCAAAACCCCAAAACCCCAAAACCCCAAAACCCCATATAGTATAAATCGTATGGAATATAAGGGATTATAAATAATTTTAGATAAATATGAACATTATTGAGAAACAGAGTAATGCAAGAGCGATGAAGGCGTCTTGGAGGAAGGATGGATGTACTGAGAGGATGGAAGCGGATAAGTTAGGAGTTGAGAGGGGAGATTTTGATGATGATATGTGAGAGATCCCTGATGAGTGACCGGTTTTGGGAAATAGGATGAGCTCAGACAAAAAGTACCATTCTAGCCTCCTCTCTACTGACAAAGGGGGAATTAAAAGTCAGGAGTTTGACTATTTTATGGATCAACTTGAGTGTCAATTTACCAAGAGATGTTCTTTGCCAGATAAATCACAGTCTATATTGATTAAGAAGGAAACTGAGCATACTCAAAATCGTACGAGAGGGTCTAGTTTAATGTTTAAGAAAATGAAGTTTACCCAAAGAAATGAAGTTGGAAACGTTCATGAATTATCAAACCTCTCTATTCCTGCCTATATCTCAGCAAATCAGCTGCCTAGAGATGCTAATAAATTTAGAGATAATTTGGTAAACCATGAAAATTCAAGAGACTGTAACTCCAACCAAATAGAAGAGATGAGTGGTGATATTTCCAACTCCCTTTCCTCTGAGTCTTATATACCAATTCCAGTAACCATGAGCGACGTAGAAGCTGGTATATATCACGCTTATTAACCTAATTAATAATTAACAATACTTTGATTACTAATTGATGCCTGTGATTTAGGTTTTTGCCAGTTTATACATATTTGGGTGAATAAACTTCCATATACCTTTAATTATCTAAATTTTGAAATGCCCATTTAGACTTTAGAAGCTAATTTTACGAGGACATAATATTGTTATAGACTGCTCCAGCTTCAGATACTATGTTGTCGTTCTCACAGAAAGGAAGAACTTTATTCTTAATAAAATTTGTTCAAATTTGTCATGTTTCCAGCACTATTTCATTTGGTTTGTTCATCTAGCCTACTGGATGAATCAAAAGCAGAGAGGAGAACAAAATACTATCTTTTAATTTTAAATTATATTAAAGAGAAGACTTCATCTTATCGTACTTCTCATGTGATGAAATAATCAGCAAGTTTAATTAAAACTGATTTAATCACTGAAATTGTAGATGGGGAATCATCATTTAATGCTGATGCCCATAATTAATAATAATTTGAAACTTTTGAAATTTCTTCAATTTATTAGAAAAATTCAAAAAATTGTCTAATAATAGTGCATTTAATTTAAAAGAATAAGAAACCTAACTTCAAAAGAGCTCTCTGTTTATCGAGTTTGTAAAAAGTAGATCTCTAAACTTCTATATTCAAGTCTGGTGGAGCGGCTGATCTCTCTATTATGATATCATAGGTTCATCTAGTGCTTATGAAACAAAAAAATTTAACCTCAAAATTAGCTATTAACTCGGACAAATTTAGATGTATAAAGGGGTTTCGCTTAAAAATTAAGGCTACTCCAGCCTCTTTACTGCGTTCCCATATTTTATTAACTAAAATTGTTAATAAAGTAAAAGATTACGATTAATAATCATTAAGAACCTCATCTGGGTTAATTTTCAGAAGCCAGGAGGCTTCAAAGGTGCTTAACTCGTTTGATGCATTTTTTAATCGCCTTCGTTACAATTAGTGTTCGCGTTTGTTACTTGTTACCCTTGCCTTGATGCTTGTCATCCAATAGTGGCTTAAGATAACCTCCCAAGCTAGTATTGTTATATCAATGAGCTCTGTTTGGTATTGAAATTAGATGAAATTACTGAAATGCTCACTCTTGGCCCAAATTTCTTTGAAAACTGAGAGCAGTCAAATAATAGGAAAAATTTATCAAAGATACTATTAAAAATTGATTTTTCCCCTTAAATTAGGAGATTTAGCAACTATAATAGAAACGTAAACCTATAAATTTTACTTAGAGAATTCAAAGTTACACTTGTTGGGAAACAAGTGCGTTATACTTTTTCGGAAATCAGAAATGGTTGCTCAATGTTAAAACTCGATTAAAATAATCAGAAAATTCAAAACCTTGGTCACAATTGAGTCATCAGCTTATCTTGCCCTTGGAAGTACCTAATATGATAATTAACAGAATGAAAACACCCTCTGAAATTTTCTCAGAGGCCTAATAAGCCAAATATCTCTAATTTTCTTTCTATTTATTCAGAAATTTACTCATTTTAATTGGCAAGAAATAAGAATCTAAATTTTGCCCTTACAAGTATGGTCTCAAGAGGCTGTTTTGCTTCAGTGGGGATATGCCTACCAATATGTTATGAAATAATCCCACCACAAACATGATAATACGTTACAGTGTCAAGCATAATCCAGAGATCCAAAATTTTCAAGTGTAGTAAACGTTGAGATTCAATTGAAGCTATTCCAACCTTCTAGACCAAAAAAAAATGTTTCGTTTTGCCATACTAACGAGATAGATGATCCATCGAATCAGGCTAAACCAAGCCTGACTATATTATTCAATGTTCTCTCTAAAGGTAGACAAAAGACTTATTTTTCCCTACCTCAATCAGTATACCCAAATTTAACCAAAATTTCATATTTCCTATATTCTACTCCATTCACTCACATTTCCTAGAACTAGTTTCAAAAACTAAAATATTGACAAATCAATAAACCCCCTTTGATAAGTCCTTGCTAATTTAGAGCCACTTCTAGCCGATGCCTAAGCTAAGTAATAACCATAATAACTTTCTCATAGACCCCTCTCATATCTTCAAAACAAGTAACAAAATGTCTCCATTTCACACACCCCCAAAATATCTCCAAAATAAACAACTTAATACCCAATTTCACCCAAATCCGTTTTATTTCCCCTCTTCTCCTACTTGTCCAAAATCCAAAATCCCAATCTCTCACCCAAACCCACCAAATTCACATCCTCCCTCTGACCATTTTCAACACAAAAAAATCTCAAATTTAGAAATTTCTGCAAAATTCCACTTTTTCTTCCTGAAACACACTTTTTGAGGAAAATTGATGGCTGAAATATCCAGAATCATGGACAGGTCTTCAGAAAGCAGCTTTGGATGTACAGGTTTTATGCTGGATAAGGAGGGGTTGGGGTGGAGGGGAGGGAGCACAGTGGGAGCTTGGATTTGGGAATTTTGGAGGTGAGAAAAGGATTTTGGAAATTTTGGAGATTTTAGGGGGTTTTAGAGGATTCAATGTAAACTGTGTTTTGAGGGGTTTTGGGGTTTTGGGGTTTTGGGG